ATTGTTCAATTTTCAAAGCAGTTTTAAAAAAATTGTTCGTCATTTGTCAACGATATTTTGCGACACTTTAGTAATGAGAATAGAACTAGAAAAAAATTGGGGGGGGTTTAACCCCCAGGACATCCCCCTAAATACGCCACTGCACTCCCCTTCTCTATTTCTCCAAGAAATTTAATCTTAGGCAAACGGCTGGGCATTGATTTTAATTAAAATTTCAAAAAGGAAATCATTTTTTAAAATTTTAACCAATGTAAATAACGAATTTCACAAAAAAAATATGTTTTTAAAGTTTAAATAATGTAAAAATGTCTATTTGAATTTAATTATAAATAATAATAAAATAGCTGTTATTTACTCGGAACAATAAACATAAACCTCAAAAATTTCAAATAAAAATCGTTTTGAGCGCCAAATAACAAAATTGTTTGTCATTATTTTCATAATAATATGTTTTTTAAAAATATTTTTAGCTCACCCTTGTTGTTAGACGGGTAAGTGAAAATAATAATCAAGGGCTTTGTAAAAAATAATAAATTCAAATGATTCATTAGTGTTGCAAAACAAATTGTAATAATTTATCCTATAGAAAAGTCTCGAGTCTAATAAAAAAAAAACGGCAATCGATAAAGTATCCTCGTTACTACTGTATTAATAAGACGTGTACACTAAATGGTTTACTCTAAATTAATTGATTTTGTGAAAAACTGCCTGTACTTTACTTACTGTCCTCGTGTAACGTGAAAAGTGTTTGGTTTTTAAAAATCAAAACTCGATTCCATAATCGAATTTTTAATAAGTAAAAAAAAAAGAAAACAATAACGGTCATCTGATAACTGGCCGACGCCCATCACGATTCCATAAACAGGTCAGGTAACTTGCCCATGCGCGGAAAAGCGTGTTGCTTTTGTCCAATATGGCGGCCGCCGGCGTGACGTTTGGTACAAACCATAGAGTACACGGGTCGGCCGATCGACGGCACCGCCGGTGACCGCCATATTGGACTAAAAACGGCTACGGACTCGAGCTGTTGTTTTCGATAAATACCCATATTGTTGTTGTTGGTTATAATAATAATTAAGAACTGTCATAATATTATTATCATATCATCATTGTTATCACTTATCATAGTTTTTCCGACATCCGTATTGTCGGACGCACGATTATTACATTTAAGATATTTGTTAAGAAAGTTGTTTTGTTTTCATATTATTATAATTATGTATAACCTAACCTGACCTATATCGGTTTTTTCGTTACAAAATATTAGTGTTCAATTATTATTTTCACACAGTTACACCGAGTAGATAACGCCAGCGACTTGCTCTACTGGCTGTTTACCAGTTTTTGCACAAAAAATGTAGCTAAAACAAAATAAATGTATATGTACTTGAAAATCGCTTCCCGTCAATAATACACATCGAAGATAAACACCGACGTCGTAGTAATTTAAAATCGAAAAATGATATTATTGTTCAATGCGGTAAGTCCTGTTCGACCTTTTACGTGTAATTGTTTTTCGCATATTTGACCTACTAGGCTGTTGAAAATGTTGGTGTTAAATTTTGTCCAAAAACCGTTTTGCAGGCCTCGTGAACGTTTATTTAACGTGTTACCGTTGTACGACCTCTCCGCCACTGTTGATTCGGATCCGGACGCTCTACGGGTCTATAGTACTGTCTGGTTGTGGTTTGAACGAATGATGATAAGCGAAACCACGTCTCGGTGGCAATGCCGGTGCAATTGTGTGGCAATTACACACACTTTGGAACTACAAATAAAAGTACATAATAATATTCTACTCGACAGTAAAAGATTCATAGTAGCCCCACACGGTGTCGTGTCGGAAATTCATTTTTAACGACGAGTGAAATTGTTTTTGTTATATTCTCTACAACAATACTAATATCGAGTGTAAAATGGTCGACAATTATTACTGTAAAATATACAAGCAATGTCAATTTGTTTCATCCGAAACCGTGTGGATAGGTATGAGTATTTTACACTATTTTCTAGTAGATATAATAATAAGATATATTATGCTCGTGTGTAGAATAACCCATAAGTCATAACAAACGTGAATGCTCACGTTTGTATGGATGTGTTTTATTTTATTTTCAATCCAATTCACATATAGGTAGGTATGTACATACAAAGTATTCACCTATATTTGAATGTAAACTTTTTGAAAAAAATCAAAATTTTATTTTGAACTATTATCGCTCTGTATTAAAATGTTTTCCACTCATTTTGTTCTTTTCGATTGTACCTAACGATTGTTTTTTTATACACAATCAATACTAAAGTATGGGTCTAAGTCTACTTGAATTGTTTTTTCTTCTTTCTTTCTAAATTTTTGTTTGGATGACACAAGCTGAGATCTAACATAAGTACACACAAATATAATTGTATAATAATTTTAAATAATTATACACAACGGTTTATGTTGATACTGGTGGTCGATGGTTAGGCTAGGCCTCAGGTCGTGTTTGTTAATAGCCGGCAATTTAATTTTGCAAAAATCCTGCGCAACTCAAATTGTAAAATAGTCGTTAACTCGTGTGTAGACGAGCATCGTGTGTACGCAATCTGTGTAAAATAGATGACAATTAACGTGAATGTGTGCGTTTTTAATGTTAAACTAATGCCTGAATAGCAACTTTCCTATTGCTACGCTTGCTAATATCACAAAAACAACGACATTTAAAGATAAAACATTACTAAACTGTTGTACTTTTTTTTTTTAAGACGTAACGACGTACGATTGAGTTCTCACGGAGCTGGGAGCAAACGTTGTGCTCTTCATTAATAGAAATTCATTTCTGAATTTGTCCAATCCAAATTTAATAAACCGTTTCTAGATTTATCCAAGCGCTCGTATAGTAATTGTATTTAAAATATATAGGTTGTGTGTAATAGTGTGTAAATGTTGGAAGAAAATTAACGATGTTGTAGGCGTCGCCTGTATCGAGCCACAACGGCCTACGCCGCTTGTGTACTTTTGTACTGGCATTATCTTAATAATGATTCACCGTACGGTTTGTTTCCATTACGTTATGTGAAAACTTACATATTATAGTTGGTTTTTTTTAGTTAGTTAGTTGTTGGAAAATGGCCAGCTTTATAATATGTTTACATTTTTATTGTTTTTTGGCCAAATCGATAATAACAATTGAAAAAATATGTGCACTGTATGAGACTACATATTATTGCATAATATAACTTATACAATTATTTATGTTTGCGCTTGGATGTTGTCTTGTAGACGATTCCCATTTAGGATTTATATGAAGACATATTCTTTAAATAGTCCTAAAATAAAACTTTAAATACCTATACTACGATCAAATTTTAAGACTTTTCAAAAAATTACAAATTTTTTTTACATGTCTTTTTTTGACATAATCTTGTCGATATACAATAAGGCCGCACCGATAGATAAACTGAAGCCAGTGGAGGCTTTGTTCTCCACACTTTTTTTAACACTAAACAAATTCAAAATTTAATAATCAAATTTTATTTATTTTTATTTTATTTACACGGTAAAATGTGGCATGCATAGCAGCATGTCTTATGGCATCTCTAAAAATACTGTACTCAACCCTTTTATGTTTTTTTAATTTTTTTTTTATAAGATTCATTGAAACTACCGTTGTGTTTTCCAAACTCGATGAAGGAAAATTAATTTTTTATTTTCCATTTATACATTTGTTTTAATAACTGTTAGTAATAATATCTACTAAGCAACTTCCGGTCCTTTGAATACAATTATTTTATTAATAGATTGACAGTATTAACAGTAATAATTATTAAGAAATCCAAATGTCTAATGAACAATTTTTTTTTTTTTTTTAGTATAAAATAAAACATTAAAGGACGACAAGGCAATAAAGGAAGTACTCGGTAATTAGTCACTAATTAATAATGCTTTAATTTCATTGGGGCAAATATCGATATCAAAAAAAGAACGACTTCCAGTAAGTTTATTATTATTGTTTTTTAATTTACACTATTTTCAGATTTAATGATACTTTATTTATTATTATTATTTATATTTAATATACATATTATTAGAATATGGATAGTGCCCCCCCCCCCCATTATCCATATTCTATACTAGTCCCCCCCCCGGCTTAGGGGCATTCGCATCCGGCAATTTTAAAATAAGCTCCCTCTAATATTTTTCCTGTTTATGTACTAGAACCTCTACTTGTGAAAATGTTTAATATAAAAAAATACAAAAGCTTTTTGCAGAGTCGATAACAGTACTTGTTGTTCAGTATGATTTATCAATTTCATGTGGCTATCACTCACCTCCATTAGGTGTCTGCATCTTGTGAACGCTAGTTTCGCAGCTTTAGGAAGAATAAAGATTCGGCTTAGGGTTTCAACGAGACAGGATAGACTTGCAGATTTGACAATATTTTAAATAGAAAAAAATATGACACACGTTTAATTGACACGAACAAAGTTATTGACACATTTGCAGAACAACCAAAGCGTTATAACTCTTGTGTAAAATACCTGTAAATAATTTCCAATATTGCATACATTTTTATTATTTTTTGTTATAAAATAAAAATGCAAATAAACTAGTGTTAACTGTTAAATTAATAAACAACATCGTTGCTCAATAAAACATTAACCTCGTTAATTTAATATCAATAGCAAATGCAGATGCTTAGCACCCTCAATTTTTTTTATTGAAATTGCGTCTATGTTAATATTGATACTATATATTGTGTAGTATCAGGAGACTGAGTAGTAAAAAAGTCACTTACTGCTTTATAATCTTTTCAAAGCAATTGACTATTTATTTATCATAAAAAAAAAAAATCGATTTTTTAAAATTCAATTAAAAATTTACACAAAATTGACCACAAATGTATAATAATAATATACATTTTAAAATATCAAAATACGCAATTATATAAAATAATTGAAATCAGCTTAAAATGTTAGCTGACTTGTCACAAATTAAATATAACATTTTACCCCGGTTGATTATTGCAAAAAGGTATTATGTGTATTAGGATGACATTGAATTACAATTATTTATTTTGATGGTGACTTCAAATAATATAAGAGAACAATGATGATTATTTTAGACATTTTGGACAATATTTTATGACTAGAATTTTCGTTTTAAACTTTTTAAGATCATACGCGTAAACCTCTAATAAGTCAAAATATGAAAATATATGCAATGTACGTTTACTGGTTTGAAATAATATAGTCTTTGTGAATCGAATTTATACCCTATTTTTAGGCGTAAATCTGATTTCACTATAAAAATATGCAAAGCCATTAGCATAACCGTGCTTTAGTTATTAATTAATAATAATTGCATTTCTATGTTCATTATGGCCGGAATAAATGGGCTGCCCCGACGGCCACAGCGGATAACCCTGGTGAGTAACTTACTTGATATTTATTTTTAGAATTGCTGAAATCAAATGTTGTGTATTGTTTTAAAATAAATTATTTATTTAAAAATATTTGTTTTAAATGTATATAGAATATATATATATGTACTGCCTTTGTAAGCAACAATGCCATAACTCGAAAATTTTTTTCTTAATTTTTATGTTCACTGTTTATAGATTTATTACATGTACCATTTAAAATTTCGACCAAGTATACTTTTTTTTTTTAAGACAAGTGTTTCCGATGCGCTGAAAACCACCGCTTTGCTGAATGTCGGGTCGAAAAAAATGAATTATTTACAAATAGTTTAGTGTTCACTCTAATAGTCTGTTTGTTCAGGAATGGCATATATGTAAAGCAACAACACATCTCCAGAATAATTGCCCAGAGAAGGAGAAAAAATAATTTTTATATATTTTATAAATGTTAAATAAATGTAATTTTATGCTTAAGTTTTTAAATTTTTTTTATAGTTATATGTTTTTATAGAATCTGCTATTTTGTCATTTGTCGCTTCCTTATGGTTTTTTTATTTTTTTTAATAGATTCTGTAACACAGAATGTAATACTTGTTTTAAATAAATCAGTGTACCTAAAAAGTATTAAACAACTAATTGGTTATATTTATTATGTTCGTCACAGTTATTGATTTGGTTTCATCCCGTTCAACCGACAACATGATTGTTTACATTTTATAATACAATTCAAAAATATTCAATTTAATTGGAAAATATTATTTTAAAAATTACCCAAATATGATTTAAAATTTAGTATAGTTTGACCCAGTTAGATTAGAGTTAAGAAATTGCAACCAAGTTACGTTACTAAATATTTGTTTTCAATGAAATTCCAAGTGAATTATTAATACCATACAACGAGGCCTCTAATTTATTTGATAAAAAACATTGCAATTATTTTTTTTCAGTTAAATTAATAAAACATAATAATTTGTCTACAAATCACACTAAAATAAAAATATTATTTTTTTTCTTAAACAACGATTACTAGTTTCAAACAAACCTTTTAAAGTTTTATTACGTTTAATCTGAAAAAAATTAACGTGTTCGCCGTTAGCTGTTATTTGATTTTTTGTAAGATTTTTAAAGAAATAACTACTAACAGATCTTTGACCTATATTTAGTTTTATTTTATTATATTTTACATTTCATTAATAAAAGGTGAATTAATAAAATCTTTACAATAATTATAAATCTCGTAAGCCCAACTCGTTAGATCCTCTATTTCAAAAATTACTTAAGACAATATAAAGAACTACTCTTACCGTTAAGTTTTTTTTTATATTTTGAAGTTTATAATTACACTAAATATTGGATGAGATTATTGTTCTTGTACTAGAGAAATGCGCAACAAACCTAAGATTCTTTTGACAAATAATATATTTTTTCATCAAAATCTATTTTTGAGAACCAAAACTAACTATATAATTAATGTTAAATCGCCATTTCGTCACCGTCAACAATGTAAGTCTTTTATCTGTGCTTGAACTTTGTTTTAATTTTGTTAACTTTGTCCATTTATTTTTAAAAAACGAATTGATAATATTTTTCTATTTTTTTCCATGATAGTTTAGTCTTATAATTTTTGTATTTTGTCGAACATTTTACAAAATGACGTCTATTTCAAATGTATATAAAAAACGATTCTTTGTAGAAATATGCATGAATTTTCGGAGAGATTTTTAATAACTAGAATTCACATTTGTTTAAGTGATCAAACTCTGGCCCGTTGCAGCAACGAGGTCAACACATCAAATGAATGCGACGTATTTAAGGAATCTTTTGCTTTTAACGGTAACCTCGGGAGACATGAACTTGTCCATACAGGATAAAAGCCTTTTAATTGTAGTTTCTGTACAAATTCATTTGCCAATAACGTTACCCTCAAGAGACATGAACTTGTGCATAAAAGACAATAGCCTTTTAAATGTAGTTTCTGCAAGAAATGTAGCCAAATGTCTACTCTCCAGGCACACGTGTCCATTCACACCGGAAAGGCATTATACAAATGTAGAGTTTGCGAAAACGTTTTTTTTTTACCAATTTTTCGGTTGGAAAATACACGAGCGTGTTCACATCAGCGAAAAATCCTACAAATGCGATGTATGTCAGAAATCCTTTAAAAAAAAATATTCTCTTATAGCGCATCGTGCAAGATTACATAAATAATACGTCATAGACTTCATGTTACTATTTTGCTCATAAGAATCTTAATTTTAATAATTTTTTTGTGTTTTTCTCGTTTATTTGTTTAATTATTATAGATTGAATTAAATATTATTAATATTTATGTCTGTAACGATTTGTTAAACAGTTCTTTGTAAAAAAAAAACAGTATTAGTTAAAAATAGTTAGTACTTGAAAATATTTTTCAAGTACTAACTACAAGTACCCGTTAGCTCGGTTTTTTCTTTCTATTGAGTTTCCTTTATTTCAATGTTGACTACAGATTTATGAGAAAATTGTCAGTGCAACAATTCAAACTATAAGTTTCAAAACTGTACATTAATAAACAATAAAATAAAGACAAATTTTTCCATCCAATACTCCAAGTTTAGTTATGCATATTGATTTCCAGCAAACATAATACAAGGTCATTCATCGAAAAAATTAAATTTCTTATTAAACCCTATAAGATATTGAATGGTTCACGGTAGCTCTGTATAGTAAAAAAGAACAGTACAATAATAAAGAACACTTACACTGAAACTTTTCAGAAATAACATAAGGCCGTATAAGTAGAGTTTTTAATTCCTGCTTTCAAGGGTTATGTGTAACAGAAATTTAACTATAGTCATAGATTTCATTAAAAAAATATAGTATAAAAATTTAAATACACATATCTTTACCTTAATGGTTAAACTATTTATATTATTCGTAAAAATAAAAAAACATCACAAAATATTTTAAAGTAATTTTTTCAACAATTGCAGCTAAATTTTAAGAAATAAAATGTCTTGATTAAAAACATTTTAAAATTGCCTAATCGTTCAATGGCGTATAAAAGACATAAGTTAGAATTTATAAATTTAATATAATATATTATATATAATATCTTAGAATTCTAATTATGTAAAGTTGGCTAAACAAACATAAACTTATTACTACTACAAATTATAATAAAAAGAAAACTTCCTATACTAGATAACTTTGTAGTTATTATTTTTGAACAATACATTGCACTATAATGGTTGATAAAATAAAAAATTTACATTCATAAAACTATGAGTTGCCTTCAAAAATATCAAAAATTAGATTCTACAAAAGGTCCAACTGATGACATCATAACATATTTTTAGTACTTAATTCTTAAAAAATAATTAAATTCTAGTTTTTATAAATATTGATAGTCAGTTTCCCTATTTTAAAATTAAGATTTCCGAACATGTTTAGGCATGATTTAACTTTTATCTGAGTGTATCATTATATGTTTTTTAAGAGTCCCGGATTGTGAAAATGTCTTCTTACATACATTACATTGAAAAGGCCTTTTACCTGTATGTGTTATTTTGTGCCTATTTAGATCTCCAGATTTCGAAAATACCTTCTTACATATCTCACATTGAAAAGGCCTCTCACCAGTATGTGTCCTTTTGTGCTTATTTAAATCTCCAGCTTTCGAAAATTTCTTCTTGCATACATCACATTGAAAAGGCCTTTCACCAGTATGTGTCCTTTTGTGCATAATTAGAGTTCCAGATTGTGAAAATCTCTTTTTACATATCTCACATTGAAGAGGCCTCTCACCTGTGTGTGTTCTTTTATGAATTTGTAAAGTTCCATTTCGTGAAAATGCCTCCATACATATCTCACATTGAAAAGGTTTCTCGCCTATGTGTGCCATTATGCGATTTTTAAGATGTTGTAATAGTGAAAATGTCTTTTTACATATCTCACATTGAAAAGGCCTCTCACCTGTGTGTGTTCTTTTATGAATTTGAAAAGTTCCATTTCGTGAAAATATCTTCTTGCATATCTCACATTGAAAAGACCTCTCACCTGTGTGTGTTCCTTTATGAATTTGAAAAGTTCCATTTCGTGAAAATATCTTCTTGCATATCTCACATTGAAAAGACCTCTCGCCATTATGTGTCCTTTTGTGCTTCTTTAGAGTTTCAGATTGTGAAAACGACTTCTTGCATAACTTACATTGAAAAATCCTCTCGCCTATGTGTGGCTTTTTGTGCTTATTTAGATCCACAGATGATAATGTTTTCAGTCCTAATTCACAATGAAATGGTTTCTCAGCTGTGTGTGTCGTAATACATTTTTTAATTGAACTGGATAGAAATTCTGCAGTTTGAATTTGATTATATTTCATATTACTGATGAGTGTATTACTAAAAAGAATAGTTATAAAAATATTATGTTAATAACTTAATTGTGAATCTTTAATAAAATCTTTTGCATGTTTATACAATTCTTACTCGGTGTAAAGAGGTGGCACATCTTTGATGACTGTCAAATCCTGGGTTTTTTCAATTTCTATCACAGATACTACAAAACAATCAATATCGATTTTATCGACCTCCTGTTTAATTTCAGCCACGGTGTTTGGTTTTCTAACAGTTGTTTCTTTATTTATAGTACTTGTTGTATCGAAGTCTGATCCAACACAACTTCAAAAAACAGTAAAATAAATTATTTAACAATATTCTTAACATTTTTAGAAGGTTATGACAAACAAATATTAAGATTAGTAGTTATTCATTGAGATGAATTTATAAAAAAGTCCGATTTTTCTAATGTAAAGAACAAAAAACTTCTTTTAATACCAATACACTTTGAAAGACCCAATTAACTATCCAATTAGGCAAAAGTTGTACATAGCTAATAATTTATCAGATACTATTAGCCCAAGGCTATATCTGAAAAAAATTGTCAAGTTCGGATTAATTTTCAATACATTTTTGAAGCTATGCTTCTTATGGGACGCCTTGGCGCTGGGGGTCAACGAAAAAAAACCGTAACACTCGTTGGTGAACGCATCACTTGTGAACGGCTGGACTGATTTAGCTCATTTTTTTGTTAATGTTCGAACATTCCGAAGAAATTTTTACGGAAATATTGGATAAGTTGCCCGGAAAATTGTAAATTTACGAAGTTAACCCCTTAACGTAACGCTCGGCTTGGCTTAGTATGTATATATATATATATATATATATATATATATATATATATATATATCTATATATATATATATATATACCCGATATTAATAATAGGGGGTTTATATACCCGCTACCCATTATTAATTATCGTCTAGCAATTATTACAATAGTAATGAGGGTAGCAGATATATACGATAAAATAAAAAATATTTACTTTAATATTATTCAAATCCTTAAAATTCCTACTGATAATTGATATGTTGTACTTGTGACATAGCCGCAAAAATAGTAAATTCGCAAATATCGCAATTTCTATTGATTGTATGGATATGAAGGTAATATGTATAAAGATGTTAACCTTTTCTATACGATTGATTTTTTAGTTTGTTGACTTTGAAGCAACATTTTTCTAAAAATTTTATACGGATGTTTCTACTTAAAATAACAGTTTTGTGCTACTCAACCCAGTTATCCATGCTAAAATTTATAATTAGGTGCCAAAATACCAATTATAAACAGAAAGTCATTAAGCAAAATGTATTATCTAAGAAGTATATTTGAGAAATTATGTAAAAGTTAAACAATATTCACAGGAGTTAAATAACAACATTATTAACTTGTAATAAAAGCTTAATGAATATGCCCAAAATCGAAAAATCGAAAAAAAACCGGGAAAAAAATCGTCTTTTGACATGTAATTCTTTACAACTATTTTGATTACTTTGGTCGTTTTAAGACCGTTATATGTATCTTAAGCTCTTTTTTTTTGTTTCTAAGAGTTTTTATGGAGATTTCGTAATGAGTTACACATTTTAAGTAAAATTTTTTTCGCTTTATGAAAACAATATAAAAAAAATTCTCAAATTTTGAGCAAAAAAAACCAACTTTTTTAGACCATAAATTAAATTTTAATGATTTTTTTGTTAAAAGAAAAGAAAAATTAGTATATTTTTCAGAAACCTGAGTTAATTTTAAATAAGAAACTAGTTTTAACTTTTTTTTTTTTAATGGTGAGATATAAACAAACAGTAAAAAAGGGTGTCAAGATAAAAACTCAAAATACGATCGTGGTCAAAGTAATCGAAAAAAAATATCAAAAAAATTAAGAAGATTTCTTTCATCGTAACAGGCATGGTGTGTGATTTCCAAAATAATCAGAGGAATTTGGTCCAAATAATGGTTCGTATTATTTTTTACTCATATATCAAAATGATGAAAATAAAATGTTCTTACGCAGTTGAAAGAGTATTCACAAATTCGTCCTTGATAAGTGGTATATCTTGATTTTCTTCAATTTGTATCGTAGATTTGAAATAACAATCATTATTGATTTCATCGACCTTCCATTTATTTACAGACATGGTGTTTGGTGTGCTATCAATAAAAAAACAACCTTTTTCAGAGTAATAAGTTTATATTTTTGTATCTCCCAAAATGTATTTTTGAAGTTTGGGTTAAAGTATATCCTTATTATTTTATCATTACATGCCAAGTTATTTTGGGCATAAACTACTAAATATTATTATTATAACCCAGCATTTATTATTATATTATATTACATTATTAAGAACCATTTATCTAAGGTAAATATTCCGCAAAGGAAACTGAAGCCGGGTTTATTATTTTATGATTATATAAATGACGATCAAAAAACTGGACTTACCTAATAGAAAGTGTGTGCACGTATTCGTCTTTTACAACAGCTAAATCTTGACTATTTTAAACAAGTATTTTTTTCAGAAAGCCGAGTTAATCTTAAATGAGAAACTGATATTTAACTTTTTTCTTTTTAATGCGGAAGTTACTAATACAAACAAACAATAAAAAAGGCTGTCATGATAAAATCTAAAAATACTTTATACGACGGCCAAAAAAATCGAAAAAAAATACTAAAAAATTAATATAATTTCTTTTATTGTCGACTTTATTTTTTTTAACTTTAATAATTGTCGTATCGTAATATGATCAACAAAACTAAAATAAAAACAGTATAAACAAATTATTATACCTAAAGTAAGGACACACAATACAATTGCGATAATTCACTGAATAGAAAATATGTAGAAATAAATCAAATACTTTCGATTTTAATTACTTTTAGTTTCACTTTCTCAACAAATCGGACGTTGTCGGATAAATTGTCGTCTAATTATTAAAATCCATAGAGTAACGCTAACATCTGGCCGTCAGATATCTCCTTGGTGTCGGACTGGACTGCTTTACCGCGTCTTTGGACGAATCAGTTGCCAAAATTTTATACTTTTATTTAAAAATGAATGAAAACTCTTACGATGACAAGTTGCACTATTCGATGCAATTGTTGTGATTATCACATTTATAAAATGTATAAAGTAATTATTATTATTAGTTCTGACAGGTATTTAATCATTTTTCTTGAAAATTATTTAAAATTTTTTTTTTTAAAACACTGAAAATATATTCGAATATCGATATACATTTCTAAACTGAGTACAAGATTCGAAAATATTCCAACAATGCCGTTTACATATTTGCCATTGATATTTCTTTATCGCAATAGCCTTATATTGATTTTAGTTTCAATCATATTTCGTACAATGTTACTGTATAACCGTTTTGTTAGGTATAATAATTTGGTTACGAATTTATAATTTTATTTTGATTATTAAATACCTAATCTGTGATATTACGCTCAGAAATATTTTTTTTTAAGTATTTGAATAATTATTAAATTTAAATAAATAACTAAATAAATAACCAATTACCTATATCTGATTAACGACAATTGTAGTATCGTAGTATCGGAGTATCGTTGTAATAGTTATTCGGTAAATGGGCATGGGCAGCACTTGCCGGCGATTAATTTGATTTATAAAACATTTTACCGTATATCCTCTATTATTGGCTAAATATAATAATAATAATAATAATAATAATAATAATAAGTTATTAAGAAAACATGCAACTATTGGCCCACGCATATTCTTTTTATCATATTTCTTTTGAAATAATATTAAAACTTGTTGAAATGTTTGTGTAATACGATTGTACTATAATTATAACTTGGCAGATAGTTGGATTTCTACAGCTCTGATAAGAATAGTAGTTTTAAAAAACACCTGTATATCAACTGTTACTAGTATTTCACATGAACAGTAAAATTATAGACTATAAATTAAAGAATGTTATAGTAACTTTACTTATATATATATATATATATATATATATATATATATATATATATATATATTGTTTATTGCGTAGTTTATAAGGATTTAATACAAACGTATGAATTAAAGAAACCAATATCATGTTAAAACATAAATTTAATGAAATTATACATTATTGGTTGAGTTTAGGTATTTAGTAGTTTATTAAAATTCTAAATTAACCTGACGGCATTATTAACATAGTCGTACGCGAACCCGAAGCCTTTAAAGGCTAGTTCTTCAATTTGGTATATTTTCATGTTAAAGGTTAGGAATATATTCTCCCCGTCGTTCGCATTTCTAAGAGATGATTTTTTATGTTCCATATGGTATTTATACGAATGGCAAGATTGACGAAAATAGCTTTTCACATTTTCTTCAATATCGGTAATATTTTTTTTGATAATAGCAATTTCACCGTTTGAGTATTCTTCAAAACTTACTCTGTCGCAGAAACTCATAAAGTCTACTAGTATCTCAGACATTTTTATGTTGTATTCAATGTCTGGGTACATTTGGTAAAAATACGATACCGCACCATGCAATCGCACCAACAAATACTTTAAATTCCCTACTACTCCAAGAAAATCTTTGAAAATTTCTGAAGTGAAACCCTGATTCAATAGTTCAAAGATGTCATCGCAAATATCCTTCAACACTTTTGCGTACTTGCAGCATAAAAATTGATAGGCTAGATCAATTTTAATATTTGCATTGTGTTTGGTAACTTTCTTCATTCTGTTGGGACAGTTCTCGACCAGACCCAGCACAGACGTGTAATCGTGATTCGTTGATTTCTTTAAAATATATATCGAATCTATCGTATCGATCTCTCTCCATCCGTTATTATTTAAAATCTTGTTCATCTGTTCGACGCGTCGCATCTGATCTGGGTCAGAAATTATTATGTGCACTAGGTTTGACGGCCTATCATACTCAAAGCCGAAATCCTCAAGTTCTGC